AGTACTCAAGCCACAACCTATCAAGGGTTTGTGACCATGAAAACAGTCCTGGCTCCACCAGCAGGAGCTGCCCCTGCGGGAGCCTTGCGCTCTGAGTGAGGGGGTGTGGTGTAGCTGCTAAAATCCAGGAGGCCAGCTGCTGAGGGCATCTGGTGCTAAGTAGAAGGCAGGGCTTTCCCAGGAAATGTCTAATGCCTATTCATGTGATTCATGATCAGAGGAAACTTGGGTCCACAGCCCCCAAGACAATCCACTAAAGGGAGAGAAGAGAGGGAAAAGTGGATTGATGAAATGATATTTCAGAACAGGGATAGGAAAGGTGGGCAGGATGTAGGAATAACAAAATAACAATTCAAATCACTCTAGTGCTTATAGTGTTTCTAGCATCTTCACTTTTTCATCTAATTATGACCATGCCTTTGGCAACATCACTGCTTATTAATGAGTTCACCCTTTCTACCTGGGGGAAAAAGGAGAGAAACCGAGTAAGCTCCTTTGAGATCCCATTTATATAGAGACCCACAGAAGATGGAAGCCAAAAAGGACCTTAGGGATCACAGATGAGGAAACCAAAGAAGTGGCTTTTGGGGAGGTGGAGGTGGAACACTACCCTCTTCTCCCCTAAGTAAGTGTAATTAATCTGAGAAGTGCAGGATTTGGAATGCACAGAAATGTTTCTGTGACAACACTGACTCAATTGTCAATCCTTCATTTACACCCTAGATTGGTGGCTTTCTGATTTTACTCCACAAAAGCCTCTGTGTTCTATGAATATGATTTCCAGACTTGGCTGTCCTATAAATACATACTTATTAATAGCTGGATTTAATTTTTTCCCCATAAATTAATTACATACAAAAGGAAATGGGCTGGTATTATCCTCCTAAAAAAGGAGCAGGTTCCCAAAGATAGTTCTCCTTTTTTCTACTCTGCCTCTCAGTAGATTGAAGTGAATATAAAACTGGGCAGAACAGGCTCACAGTGTTGCCCACGTGTGAGGAGGAAGGTGGCACTTTGCCACCTGCAGGCACAGGCAATAGAGAACACTCTGCGTGAACCGACAGTGAACGTGGTTCTACGTCAATGCAAGGGCCTGGCAATGTCCCTCATTACATGCAAAAGTCAGAGCAGGAGTCCCAGGCTGGCAGGGAACACCAACATGCAGGCCTGGAGTGGGCTTCAGAGATGGTCAAGGCACAGCAGAAAGCGGGGGAGCATCCCTGAATTTGTGGCTGCCGTACCAAGTCCACCGCATAATATGTAGGAAACTGAGTCCAAGAAAAGCAAACATCCTTACAGTCCACAAGTGGCAAGATGAACACATTCTCTATTCTGATTTCCATGCCCTCACTAATTTTTACACGGAGAAGCCTGTGCTATTATTTTGCTGGGACACGTTAGGAAGACAGCAAAAACCACAGCAGGTTGCACTATGAATCCTGCAGCATGCAGTGCCATGGTGGTTACATAGGAATATAGTTCTCAAGCTCCCACTTCTAATGCCAAACCCAAATACAGCCTAGTAAGGAAGGAGGGCTTAAAGCTTTTCATTTGTAGCTAGAACTTAGCAGGTGAAGACAGTGTACAACCATTACAATGTGGGCAGCATTCTCCCACACATTCCCTGCGCCCAGGTTATCCTGAGTTTTGCAGTGCATTAAATTACTTGTAAGTTTTATAAACCATTCCTGCCTTCCCACTATTTTCCTCCAGCCACCCTTAGAGATTTTGATATGACTAGAATGTGTCCTATCTCTTAGATGTGCTGGGGCAAAGAAAGCTTAAGAGCCATTGACTTGGCTTCATAGGAACTAGTCACAGCTCTGTGATCCTAATACACAGTCGATCAACTCATTTCCTAGCACCTTCTAGGAGAGTTTTTCTAGACCAATAGAAATATAATGCAAGTCACATACGTAACTTTAATTTCTATTAGCCGCATTTAAAAAAGGAAAAAGAAACAGGTGACCTGCACTCGAATGTTTATAGCAGCACAATTCACAATCGCAAAGCTGTGGAAACAACCCAAGTGCCATCAATTCATGAGTGGATTAATAAAATGTGGTATGTGTATACCATGGAGTAGTACTCAGGTTTAAGAAACAATGGTGATACAGCACCTCTTGTATATTCCTGGATAGAGCTGGACCCATTCTACTAAGTGAAGTATCTCAAGAATGGAAAAACCAGCACCACATATACTCACCACCAAATTGGTATTAATGGATCAACACCTAAGTGGACATATAGGAATAACATTTATCGGGTGTTGGGAGGGGGCAGGGGGGATTGGTATATACAACCACAACGAGTAAGATGTGCAACATTTGGGCCATGAAAACGCTTGAAGCTCTTACTCAAGGGGGGAGGGAGGCATGAACAATATATGTAACCCTAACACTTGTACCCCCATAATATGCTAAAATAAAAAAAAGAAAAAGAAACAGGTGAAACAATAATATATTTAACTCAATATATTCAAAGTATTGTCCTTTCAACATGTAATATAAAATATGATATATACATCATATAGGTGTACTAAGTCTATAAAATCTGATATGTATTTTGTTTTCACAGCACATCTCAATCCACAATTAGCCACATCTCAAGTGCTAAATAGCCACATGTGGCTGGTGGCCACCATCCTGGACAGCACAAATGTAAGCTGTTCTTATAGTCCCCAGGGCTCAAACCCTCCCCATGCCATTCTCATTGACATTAGTTTACTCCAACATAAATAGAAATTTCTCCATAAGGTAGCCATTCTCGCCTGTCTCAGGGCCCTTTCTTGTCCAGATCTAATGTGTCCACTTTGGCCTCTATTGCATCCCAGCTCTCCAATCGTCCACTCAGTCACCAAGCAGTCATTACTGAGTGGCTACCAAGTGCTGGGTATTTGTGTTAACCGATGAAGACAAAAAGATTAACATGACATAGTCCCCGAATTCCAGGAGCTCTCGGCTTAGCAGGCACAAACATGGAAATGTGATGGAAGCTATTCAGAGCCGCACACAAAGGGATGCATGGAGGGAGTGACTGTTTCTTCTGGGGCTTCTGGAAAGCATTCACAGAAGGGGACATGGGGCTGGGTTTTAAAGGATGAGAAAAAATGTGGAAACGTGGGGAAAATGCATTTCAGGCATAGGGAAAAGCATATCCAAGACACAGTATGAGGACATGTGTCCTTGGAAATGAAAGTGTCTAGTAGGCAAGAACATGACAAAGTGCGCCGGAGTGAGGCTGGCTATGTTACTGAGGCTGCCTGATGACACATTTAGAATTACTGTGGGGTGATTCTCTGAGCAGGGAAATCTTGTGGTGAGCTATAGCACAGACTGCAGAGGACAAAGAAGAAAGGAGAGCTTGAACTACGCGGGTAGCGGTGTTTCCAGAAAGGAAGGGATGTGAGCGCCCATGTAAATAAAGGAATGTAAGTGCACTGTGTTCTGAAGCTCATCTCAAGATAAGCACTATGATGGAACCTGGGCAAAGGGTCTAATTTTGTTGAGGCTTTCTAGGCCCCAGTTAGCTATGCTAGGGCATTAGAGCCACTCCCAGGGTGTTTACACGGGACTATTATAGTCTGTTGTGGTCTGAGAGCACTAAATGTCTTCTTGCCCTGAAGGAAGTAATAGGACTCCTTACAGATTCATTTAGGTAGTAGGCAGAATCAAGCTGAATTGCTTCTAGGAGTGCTAGGAAAGTCACACCTGTGAGACCCAGCTGGTGCTGGATAGCACCTGGCCAGTCCGATCAGATGACATGGTGGCTCACGCTACCCTGGAACCCAGCGGTGGCTAATTTAACCATGAGTTTCCTGGAAGGTGGCTCTGGAGCTCGCAGGTAATGACAGGGCCACAACATGACATCTGCGGGGAGAAGGAGCCTCAGAGATCCCATGGGTTCTCCATCTGCAGATAGGGAAAGTTGAGGCACGGCGAGTAAAGGGGCTTGCAGGCCACATAGCTACTAAAAGGCAGAGCCAAGAGTAGAAGTAACCTTTCTTGATTCACAAGCAGGTGCTCCTCCCACAGGAGACTGCACTCTGTGGTACCAACGTCACAGAGAGATTAGCAGAAGATGTGTCATGAAGAACCGTTTACCTTCACAGCAACTCGGGTGGAAAAAGAGAAAGCTGGGCTAGAGGCACACTGGGTAATAAAAGCATCTTTGTGAGCCAAGCTGACATAATACGTTAGCAGTGAGCTGAGTACTCACATGGGGAAAAGTCTACGAAGTCCGGGTCAATGTTATGCAGCAACTCCACTCTGGGGGACGGGCTTCCTTCACTGCAAAAGAATTTTTTAGGAAATGTTAATTTCCTTTCTCAAATGGGCATGAGTTATTTTAATACTTCCTTTCCTTGTACTTGTAGGAAATAACAAACTTGCCAGTTAACAACTTTGTCATGAATTTGGAGGTCTCTAAAATCTGTGGTTGGTACATCTTCAAGTAGTCATCATTTGTCAACATTTTAACAATGACTAAACACCTCACATAAAAACTTCAGTGTCAAGCATATGATGACTTTATAAGAGAGACCTGGGACCCTTTGCAACAAACATTGTGGCTGTATTTAAATATGCCCTTGTTTACACCAGACAAATGAGAACTCAAGTCATCCTGGATAAACTTCATACTGGACACTTACAAGGAAATGAAGAAAGAGCGTATGCCAGAATAATGGCATCAATATTACAGATGCAATATAAGTCTTAAAGACTAGCCTACATAAGAAAAACTCATGTCTTCCATATCCAAATTTGCAATATAGATCTTAGATTGAATATAATTACATGTGAAATAGATCTCTTTAAGATTTTTGTAAAAAGTGTACATACGTGTACAATCACAACCTACATTAGTTCTGAAAAGCAACTTGGAGATCACTTGGACTCAACCCTCTCCTGTTACAAATGAAGAAGGTACATGGTAAGTTATTGGTAGAAATTTGGGTTCTGTGACTCTCAAAGCAGTGTTTTTAAAATATTGGGAGCATAAACACCACCAGATGTATGTGAGAATCACATGAAGTACTCACGTCATTTTGCTAATATAGACTCAGCCTTAGGAATTTGTTAAACACAATTTAAATCACTGGGAAGGTACTGAGGACTACTTGATAATCCATTACTGTTTAGCTAAGTACTAGAAGTTCCAAAGTACTGCTGACACCATAGGATTTGTATACAATCTGAAAAACCAATGATGGTCTTGATGTAACCAAGAAGACATGCTTTCAGGTGGCCCAGTGTCTACACCCCAAACTCACAGCTGGTTGTTTCTAGCAGTGGTTTTGTATTTCAAGGGCCAGGAAAATTTAAAAAGATCTGGGTCGTGATTTGCAACTTTGTATTTTCCAAGTAAGGAAATATTAAAACAAAAATTAATTAATTTAAACAAAACCAAAAAAGCTTCAACTACCATCACCACAAAAGTAATTGTCATAATTTCATAAAATTAATTTTAATAGCAAAAAAAGGTGGTTAGAAGGACATAATCTCAGAATAAATAAGTACTTTAAATTGAACATATTTAACGTTAGTGGTCTATAAGATTTTTGTTGTCTTGTATTCCATAAAACACACTGGCTAGAGAGAGTGGGAGGGAAACACTCGGCATGCTGGCAGTCCCGGGGACAGCAGGGCAGTGCCGTAGGGTGGGGTGCAGGGTGGGACTGGAGGGGTAAGGCACATGTCCTGGGACCCTTCTCTTCTCATTTTCTTTCTATGGCACTTTAACTACCTGTCTATCCTGGAGAGTGTCAACCAGTTCAAAATGCCAGGAACTAGGGTTTGAGCTTAGAAGCTCTGAATGCAAGTAGTGATGATATGCATAGAAAATGGTAAACATGAGAAAATCTAAAAAGAATGATGATGATGATGATGTCTAATTGATGGGCTTAAAGACAAGCAAGTAGAATTAAAAGCCTTGATAATAATAGCAAGTAAGTGAGGAGGGGAAATCAGAATGAAAGCATTTTAAAGTCTTTGTATTGGTTGAAAAGAGGGTATTGATTGAAAGTAGATTTAGCTAAGTAAAATATATGTGTTAAAATTTTAGAGTAACTATTAAGAATTTTTCTGGACTACAGGGGAAAACCCCCCAACTTTCAGGGCCAATATATTACTATTAAACCACTCATCTTTAAAAGCAGAGTTCAGGCCTGGTGCGGTGGCTCACGCCTACAATCCCAGCACTCTGGGAGGCCGAGGCGGGTGGATTGTTTGAGCTCAGGAGTTCGAGACCAGCCTGAGCAAGAGTGAGACACACCCCCCCCATCTCTACTGAAAAAAAAAAAAAGAAAGAAATTAGCTGGACAACTAAAATATATACAGAAAAAATTAGCCGGGCATGGTGGCGCATGCCTGTAGTCTCAGCTACTCGGGAGGCTGAGGCAGGACGATGGCTTGAGCCCACGAGTTTGAGGTTATAGTGAGCTATGACTGCACTCTAGCCTAGGTGACAGAGCGAGACCTTCTCTCAAAAGAAAAAGAAAATAACAAATTTTGTTTATTAACCATCTTTTCTTTGTCATCAAAGGTCTTATTTTTTATACTAGTTATTTGCAAACTTTGCGGCACATTAGAATCCCCTGGGGAGCTTGTCAAACCCAGATGCACTGGCTGTGCCTCATACCAGTAAGAACACTGGTGGCTCTGTAGTGTTTGAACTCTACAGGTGATTCCAATGTACAGCCAAGCATGAAAGAGCAGTGCTTCTCAAACTGTAATGTACACGTGAATCACCTGCAGATCTTGTTAAACTGTGAACTCCGGTTTATTTGAGTTGTGTGAGACCCAGGAATCTGCATTTCTAACAGGTTCCCAAGTGATACTGATGCTGCTGGTCTGAGGACCACACTTTGAGTATCAAGGTTCAGGGAAGCCTCCTGGAGTCCTCTGTCCTACAAGGAATCTAAACTCTTCTGGAATCTCTTACGTTAGAAACTCATTTAGATTATGACTGATTCTAGAGTAATGATTCTTAACCTTGGCTGCATAATGCAATCACTTGAGAAGTTTTAAAAAATATACTGATGCTTGGATTCTACCCCAAAAGATTGATTCATTGGTCTGAGTTTCAGCCTGGGCACAAAGATTTATAAAAGTACCCAAGGGTGTCTCTTCACTCTATTGATTGTTTTCTTTGCTGTGCAGAAGGTTTTTAGTTTGATATAATACTATTTATTTTTGCTTTTGTTGCCTGTGCTTTTGAGGTCTTCCCAAAATCTTTGCCCAGACCAATGTACTAAAAGTGCTTCCCCTGTTTTCTTTGAGTAGTTTCATAGTTTAGGATCTTATATTTAAGTTTTTAATCCATTTTAAGTTGATTTTTGTATAGGGTAAGAGACAGAAGTCTAGTTTCATTTTTCTGCATATGGATATCCATTTTTCCCAGCACCCTTTATTGAGGAGACTGTCCCTTCCCCTGTTAATGATCTTGGTGCCTTTGTAAATAATCAGTATGCTATAAATATGTAGATTTACTTCTGGGTTCTCTATTTTGTTTCATTGGTCTATGTGTCTGTTTTTAGGCCAGTAACATGTTGTTTTGGTTACTATAGCTTTGTAGTAGACTTTGAAGTCAGGTAGGGTGATGCATCCAGCTTTGTTATTTTGGCTCAGGATTGCTTTGGCATTTCAGGGTCTTTTGTGGTTCCATACAAATTTTAGAATTTTTTCCTCCTATTTCTATGAAGAATTCATTGCATTGAATCTGTAGACTGATTTTGGTAGTATGATCATTTTCACAATATAAGTTCTTCCCAATCTGTGAACATGAAATGTCTTTCCTTTTTTTTCTTTGGTGCCCTCCTCAATTTATTTTACTAGGGTATCATAGTTTTCCTTATAGAGATCTGTCACCTTCTTGGTGAAATTTATTCATAGATTTTTTTTTTGTAGCTATTATAAATGGGATTACTTTCCTTTTTCTGCTAGTTCATTGTTGGTGTATAGAAATGCTACTGATTTTTGTATGCTGATTTTGTATCCTGCAACTTTACTGAATTTGCTTATCAGTTCTAAAAGGTTTTTGGGTGGAGCTTTTAGGGTCTTCTATATATAACATCATGTCATCTGCACACAGGGACAATTTGACTTTCTCCTTTCCAATTTGGATGCCTTTTCTTTTTTTCTCTTGGTTAATTTCTCTGGCTAGGACTTCCAATACTATCTTAATAAAAATGGTGAAAGTGGGCATCTTTGTCTTATTCCAGATCTTAGAGGAAAAGTTGTCAACTTTTCCCCATTATGACATTGGCTGTGGTCCTTTATTGTATTGAGATGTGTTCCCTCTATACCAAATTTGTTAAGAATTTTTAGTATGATGAGATTTTGAATTTTATCAGTCCTCTTTCTGCATCTATTTAGATGATCATATAGTCTTTTTTACTTCATTCTGTTGCTATAATGTATCATGTTTATTGATTGGTATATACTGAACCATCTTTGCTTCCTTGGATAAATCCCACTTGATTATGGTGAATGATCTTTATAATATGCTGTTGGATTTGTTTTGCTAGTATTTTGTTGAAGATTTTTACATATAGCTTCATTGGGGAGATTGGCCTATAGTTTTCTTTTATTGTTGTGTCCTAGTCTGGTTTTGGTATCAGGGTAACACTGTCATTGTAGAAGGAGTTTAGAAGAATTACCTATTCTTTAATTTTCTGGAAGAGTTTGAGGTGAATTGTTACTAGTTCTTCTTTAAATGTTTGGTACAATTTTGCAGTTAAGCTATTGGATCCTGGGCTTTTCTTTGGTGGGAGACTTTTTATTACAAGTTCAGTGTCATTATTCATAACTGGTCTGTTTAGGTTTTCTGTTTCTTGTTGGTTCAATCTTGGTAGGTTGTATGTGGCCAGAAATTTATTCATTTCCACTAAGTTTTCTAATTTTTTGACAGATAGTTGTCATAATAATTTCTACAGATCCATTGTATTTCTGTAGTTTCAGTTGTAATGTATCCTTTTTTGTTGTTTGTGATTTTAATTGGGTCTTTTTATATTAGTACAGCTAATGATTTTTCAGTTTTATTTTTTCAAAAACCAACTTTTCATTTCATTGATCATTTGTACTAAATTTTTTAGTCTCAATTTTGTTTATTTCTGCTTTGGTCTTTATTATTTCTTTCCATCTACTGATTTTGGATTTGGTTTGATTTTACTTCTCCAGTTCCTTGAGATGTATCATTTGATTGTTTATTTGTAATCTTTCTACTTTTTTTAACCTAAGCATTTATTGCTATAAATTTCCAACTTAGCTTTTGCTGTATCCCATAGGTT